GGCTGGCCATGTCCCAAATCAACCAGCCCTTGTGATCCTTAGCAAGCCCCAAGTGCACACCCCATCTCCCAGAAGCTTCCAGCTTTCCCCTCTTCTCCTTAGGCACATGAAACACCACCATGCACCCGAACGCTCTCAGCATGTTGACTGCTGGTGCACTCCCATACCACTTGGTGTAGGGGACCCACTGCTTGTCCCCCACAGTCGCCAGCACCCTATTCTTCACAACGACGACTTGCCTAAGTGCAGTCACCCAAAACGGATCCGGCAGCCCGGCACGCCCAAGGAGAGTACGAGCTCCTTCCTGCAGGGTCCGGTTGAACCGCTCAGCCACGCCGTTCTGCTGAGGGTTGTAGGGCACTGTGAGCTGATGCTAGTCCCCTTCTTCTTCAGCACCGCCTCAAAAACAGCGCCAATGAACTCTCCCCCATTGTCGGTGCGGATCACTTTCACCTTGTGTCCGCTCTCCCTTTGAGCTCTCGGCATCCACTCCTTGAGAACAGCCGCTGCCACCTCCCCCTTAGTCTTGAGAGGGTAGACCCACACCGCACGCGTGTGGACATCCACGATGGTCAAGAAGTAGTTGCTGCCCGAGAGAGAAAGGGCCCTCGTGGGGCCCACCACATCCATGTGCACAAGCGCGAGTGGTGCCTTGGCTGGTCCCGTGCTGCTGCTGAAAGGGAACTTGGTGAATTTAGTCTCAAGGCATGTAGGGCAGCTCCCAATCTCCTTTGCTGCCCCCTTCACCACCACTCCCTTCAGACTCCCATACTTTACCAACTTGTGTAGCATCGGAATGTTGATGTGGCACAACCTCTCGTGCCACGTCTCCCAATCGGCCTCACCACTCTCAGATGAAGCCTTCGCCCATGCAGCTGTCGCATCCACACCAGCAAGCACCTCACCATGTGGCTAATGTGGCTGCTGCACCTTCTTGACTGCATCCAGGGCCCCAGCAGTTGGTGCAGTCTCCTCTCCTCCCGCAGTTGCCTTAGCCGCTGCCGCTGCCTTTGCCGTTGCTGGTGGTTTCCCATTCCAAGGGATGATGGGCAGCTGCCACAGGTCCTTGATGCAGCTGCTCTTCTCGTCCAAATCCCACAGCAGCAACTTCCCAAGCTTTGCACGGCAGCTGGTTGGGCCGAACGTAACTTTGGCCCCGCTTTTCTGCAGCCGGCGCACAGAGAGGAGGTTAGCGGACAAACCTTCAACCAGTAGGACATTCCCAAGTCTCACAAGCCCCCTATTAGCTCCCATCACCTTGGCATTTCCAACACCAATCACAGGGAGCAAAGCACCTGAAGCGGCAGCCACAAACTTGATCTTCCCAGGGGGTTTCACCTCATCAAGCAAATCTGCCCGCGGAGTCATGTGACTCGTGCAACCTGAATCGATCACCCAGTGAGTGAGGGGGTGCATCACAACCTTCCCAACTGAACCCACATCATCCTTGCGGAGATAACTACTACACCGGGAACTAGACTATGGGCTAGGCACGGGTGCTCGTGTGATCTCTGCGTTCATCCACTTAGTCGTTTACTTGTGCTTGCACTACTTGCTGGTTCACAGGGAAAGTTGGCAAGAGTTTCACTAGCAAAAGTTGACAACAATGGTACAATGAAGTTGGCAAGACTAGACTAGATCAGGGCTAGCATGCAAGCAAGTCTACTGCCAGCGCAGCACGGTCGACCGTGTGCCAGCACGACTTGGTCGACCGCGCTCCAGCAGTGCAGAGTCGCGGCTTGCCAATGCTGCAAGTCGACGTCGTGCCAACGTCGCAGGTTAATGGCGTGCCAACGTTGCTCCCGCAGGACAGCAGCGCACCCGCTTCGCAGGTGCGCGCAGATGATTGGCGTGCAGTGCCTCGTCACCTGCACAACGCACACACTACGTCATCTTCGTGCTAACGACTGCTTCTTCTCAGCCATGTCGACCTCGGGATACCACCACCGAGGTCGTCCTTGCCAACAGCGCCTGGGCGACCGTTGCGTGCCTCCGCGGAAACTCGTCACCCAGGTAACCTGGTCGACCAGGCAACCACGTCGACCAGCTGCTTCTAAGCGTGCCCGTCGACCACCCAGGTTGACGGCCACCTCTAGTCGACCTCACCAGTTCGACCACTACCCCAGGTTGACCAGGTCCAGATCGAAGTCACTCCTGGTCGACCAGCTCCTCGTCGACCAGCAAAATTGTCAGCCGACCCCAAAGTCGGCTACCCGAAGTCGGCGTCACCAAGTTGACGCCCTGCTACTCGACGCCCAGCTGTTCGGCGTCCTGAGTCCCCCTGTCGAGGTCGACGTCGGCCCCTCCTTCGTCGACCACCATGTTCGGTCGACCACGAGGTCGACATCACGCCTGGTCAACCAACAACCAAGTCGACCATCAGGTTTGGTCGACCAACCAACAGGTTGACCAGCAGTCCTGTCAGCCGACCACCCAAGTCGGCTACCCCAAGTTGGCGTTACCAAGTTGACGCCTTCCGCAGGTCCACTTTCCAGGTCGACCTCCCTGAATTCGGCGCGATCATGAAGTCGGCGCCCATGCAGTGGCACCCGTGCAGGTCGACTTCCTCGTTGACCAGCTCGCCCACTGCTGCAGGTCGGTTGCACCCCTACACGCGACCACAAGGTCGGCTCTGCCCAAGCGAGGACGGGGCCAACACACAACTCCCGTTGACAATCCTCACTCCCTTTCACATCTTCAACCATGAGGAACATCCCAGGGTCGGTTTTACTTTGTGCACCATCACCTTGTGCACCTGAACCTTGCTCAGCGACACCTCGTGCGCGTTCACCACTTGGCGGCTTCATGCCTGGGAGCGCCCATCCTTCAGGCCAGCTGAAACACTTGAACCACTGGTGTCCAGCCTTCTTTCAGTATCAGCATGCACCCTCCATTCGGGTGCTCCCCCTACCGTGAGAGCTCCCATGCCCCTCGTTGTAGTCACCTCGACCTCTTCCTCTGCCAAAGCCTCTCCCGCGGCCTCGGCCTCTCCCTCCCCCTCTTCCTCTGCTGCCTCCTGCAGCTCCATACCCTTCAGCAGTTTTGTTGGCAGCACCACCTCCCGTGTGGCGCCTGCGGAAGTCCTCCTGCAGGATCTGCTGCCGTAGCCACTCAGGCGTCCACTTGTCCTGCTGAACGTTGAGGGTGGGGATGAGGTTCTCCCACGAGTTGTCGAGCACCGAGATGATCTTGGTGCACTGCTGCATCTCCGACACTTTGCTGCCCGCCGCTGCCATCCTCGCATAGGTGTCCTTGATCTTGTCAAGCACCGGCTTCACATCGTCTCCCGGCTTCATGGAGAGGGCAGCCAACTCCTTCTCCAACACAATCACCATCGGCAGCGTGTTGGGCTGAACCACATCGCGTAGCAGCTTCCACGCCTTCGGTCCGGAGTCGTCCAGCTCCACCAAATCCTTGATGTGCTGGAACATATCGTTGTTGACCGATTGAAGGATGAGGTCGTACAGCACCGCGCTCCGCTCAGTCCATTTGTCGCGGGCATCACCTTCCTCCGGCATCTTCTCTTCTCCCATCGCAAGTTTCAGCAGCTTGTAGCGCTTGAAGGCGCTCCGCATCCGCCCGCTCCATTCCTCATAGTTGGAGCCATCCAAAGCCTCGATCTTGGACGGTGGCGGTTCACTCTTCTTATCAGCTGCTTCTCCACTCCCTTGACTCATCTCCTCTGCTCCCAATCAGAGGTTTCAGCTCCCCCTTTTGCTGTCCACACCGACGTCCCACACAATTTCCACAAGTGTCGGTGCCAATGAAATTTCGTTAGCGGAAGTCACTTACAACCTCTAGAACTCCACTTAGGCACGCCCACAGGCCATGGTGGGTCTAGGAGGGTCTTCACACTTCAGTAGACTCTTCACAGCGTCCTCAATTTTCTCTGATACCACTTGTTGGAGATTGAGGACGGAGTCTACGAAGATTAGGTGCCCAAATAACTCAGAATCGTTGGTCTTAGGTTCTGGACAGAAACCGCGATTTCACAAGAAACGTCGTCGCTGAGAAGTTCACCGTTTGAATCGTCTCAAACTCGATATGTTATAGCCCTTGTTGTCAAACATTGCATGTTTATATTGTCTAGGCTGTAGTGGGTTACACCTTAGGGGGTACACAAAGTTAGGGTTTACTACTTGTACCAAACTCTGTTCTAGTTCATTCATTCCTGCTCAGTTATTTCTGACATGGTTTCAGAGCAGGTCCTTCGCTAGGACTGTTCTTAGGGCCCACCGACTTACCTACCTGCTTACCTTCGCTTGTTTCCGGCCCCGCTGGCCCCGTCGATCTAGCACGATCTAGCGGCCCTGCGGCCCCGTCGAAATTTTTTTTTTTTTCCTAGCGGCCTCTCACGGCCCCCGTCGCGTCGCCCCTTAGCGCCCCGATCGGCCCCGTCACGCCGCCCGCGAACCGCACAGCGCGCCGCGCTCACAGCCCGCGAACCGCCCGCGCACAGCCCGCGACCCGCCTGCGCAGCCCGCGACCAGCCCGCGCAGCCCGCGCACAGCCCGCGAACTGCCCGCGAGCAGCCCGCGACCTGCCCGCGAACCCCCGCGAGCCGCCCGCGACCCGCTTACGCAGCCCGCGAGCAGCCCGCGCAGCCCGCGCTGAGCCTGCGCGGCTCGTGCGCTGACCGCCGCCGGCCCGCACGCTGCCCGCACTGCTCCCGGCCCACCGCTGCTGAGCCCGCAGCCGCCCGCGCACCGCCGCTGCTGAGCCCGCCGCCGCCCGCGCACCGCCGCTGCTGAGCCCGCCGCCGCCCGCGCACCGCCGCTGCTGCGCCCGCTGCCGCCCGCGTATCACCGCTGCTGAGCCCGCCCCTGCTGCGCCGGCTCTCGCTGCCGCCTGCTGCGCCTGTGCACCACTGCAGATCCTACTACTACACTTCCTGCTACTGCTGCTTGTGCGCCACTACAGTCCGTAGGCCCCACCGGCCCTGCTGACCCTGCGCACGCCTGTTCAGTGACTTTACTGCTTCTACTACTGCCGCTGTCGCTATGGCTAGTCCTCCTGTTCTAGCTTTCGACGCCGAGGGCCGTCCGGTCAAATTCGAAACCTGGCTAGATGACCTGCACCTTTTCCTACAGCTCACTGCCAAGGAAGATATTACACTGTACGACCACGCTCTTGGCCATGCGACCGCCCCACTCGCTACTGCCCCCCCAGCTGAGCGCTCACAGTGGCAGACCCGTGACGCGCACGCTCGCTTTGCTATTCGCAACTCCCTGCCGCTAGATGAGCGCGAGCACTTCGGCCAGTGCAAGACTGCTAAGGACCTCTACACAGCTGTAGTGGCCCGCTACTCCTCACCCGCTTCTGCCACACTAGGCCGCCTCACTCTCCCCTACCTGTTCCCCGACCTAGCCTCTTTTCACACTGTCGCAGACCTCATCACCCACCTTAAGACTAGTGAGGCTCGCTTTCGCGCTGCCATGCCTGATGAGTTCCTCGCTAGCAACCCCCCCCCGCTCTGGATCACTCTCTACCACGTTGTCACCCGCCTCCCTGACTCTCTGCGCCCTGTCAGGGACCAGTTCCTCTCTCGCTCCCCCACTGAGCTCACCATAGCCCTCCTCGAGAAGGAACTGCTTGCAGCCGAGGCTAGTATCGTCGCTGTAGGCACCTCTCGTGGCGACCCCCGCGGCCCCTTCTTCGAGGGGTGCTCCCCTTCCCCCCTCCTCCCCTCTGTCGCCTCTGCTGCTGCTGTCGACCTCCTTGGTGCTGAGAAGGTCGGGGCTGCGTCTGCTTCAGGCGGACGACGCAGGGGCAGGAGTGGCAGGAGTGGGGGTGGTGGCGGAGGAGGCGGGGGTGGAGGTGGTGGCGGTGGAGGTGCGACTGGAGAGGCTAGTGGCGGCGGTGGTGGAGGTGACAGCGGTGTTGGGAGTGGTGACAGGGGCGGAGGTGGCAGCGGAGGCGGAGGTGGTCGTGGCAGCGGCAGGGGTGGAGGTGGCCGGGGCGGAGGCGGAGGGGGTGGTGGTCGTGGAGGCCCGGGGGGCGGTCAGAGTCAGCAGCCTGCCCCGACCCTTCAGGCCGCCCGTGAGTGGTATGCGCGGCGCAGCGTCACCTGCCAGTACGTTATTCGTACAGGTGACCGCACTGGCCAGACGTGTGGGGGGCCGCACCAGACGGAGCGCTGCTTCGCCCGCCTCAACGATGCGTGGCGCACTCAGTTTCCTGGTGGGGGTGAACTGCCGCGCTGGGCTGATCTGCTCAGGAAGGGTGTTGATATTTGGGCACTTGACTTTGATGCTATTCTCACTGCCATGTATGCGATGTCTATTAGTGGAGAGGGTGCTCAGTACTTGCGTGTTCCGCCCGACCCGGGCATTCAGGCCAGCCCCGCTGCTGCTCTAGGTGCTTGTGCGTCTGTGCCCCCTGGTACTGAGTCGACTGCAGCACTGCACACCTTCACACTTGACTCAGGTGCTTCTCGCTCTTTCTTTCGTGACCGCACTGTCCTTGAGCCTCTAGCTCGGCCGGTTGCTGTCTCTCTTGCTGACCCCTCTGGGGGTCCGGTCCTTGCGACCTCCTCCACCACCCTTCCGTGTCCAGCGGTTCCGTCCGGCAAGCTCTCAGGTCTCTACCTCCCCTCGTTCTCCACGAACTTGGTGGCAGGTAGTGCGCTCCAGGACTCGGGTGTTCACCAGTTCACCCCTGCCTACGAGCGTGTGACTCACTGCACGTGTGCTCGGACGGGCCGCCACCTGGCTACTTTCACTCGAGAGCCGGGGTCTGACCTGTACACACTGACCACTGAGTCCCCTCAGGTAGCTGCGTCTGCGTCAGCGTCAGGTCAGCTGTCCGCCCCCTGCTCGTGTCGCTCTCTGGCGAACGACACCGTCCTCTGGCACCACCGCCTTGGTCACCCGTCTGTGCAGCGCCTGCGGGCCATGCACAAACGGGACCTTGTTGCTGGTCTTCCCAGGGTGCTCCCTCCCCTTCCTGACTCCCCTGCTCCTGACTGCATTCCCTGTGTCGAGGGGCGGCAGCGCGCCGCTCCTCACTCCTCCTCCTTTCCCCCGACGACCGCTCCCCTGCAGACGCTCCACATGGACGTGTGGGGCCCAGCCCGCGTCCGTGGTCAGGGTCAGGAGAGGTACTTCCTGATAGTTGTTGACGACTACTCGCGCTACACCACGGTCTTCCCCTTGCGCGCCAAGGGTGACGTCCCTGGTGTTTTGATCCCCTGGATCAGCCGAGCCCGTCTCCAGCTAGGCGAGCGCTTTCACTCGGACTTTCCTGTCCTGCGCTTGCACTCTGACAGGGGTGGTGAGTTCGCCTCCGACCTCTTGGCAGCCTACTGTGCTGAGCACGGCATTGAGCAGTCGTACACGCTTCCGGCCTCTCCACAGCAGAATGGGGTTGCTGAGCGCCGCATTGGCTTAGTCATGGAGGTCGCTCGTACCTCCCTGACCCATGCGGCTGCTCCCCACTTTCTGTGGCCGTTTGCGGTCCGGTACGCAGCGCATCAGCTCAACCTCTGGCCCCGTGTCTCCTTGCCGGAGACTTCCCCGACTCTACGGTGGACGGGAGAGGTTGGCGATGCGTCGCGTTTCCGGGTCTGGGGATCTCGAGCTTTTGTCCGCGACACGTCCGCGGACAAGCTCTCGCGTCGCGCTGTTCCCTGTGTCTTTCTTGGCTTTGTTCCCGACGCGCCTGGATGGCAGTTTTACCACGTCACCTCGCGCCGGGTTCTGGCCTCTCAGGACGTCACTTTTGACGAGTCCGTCCCCTTCTACCGCCTCTTCCCCTACCGCACTGCCCCGCTCCCCCCCCCACCTCTCTTCCTCGCTCCAGGTGCTGAGGTACCAGACCCCCTCCCCCCTCAGGGTGCCGCTCCCTCAGGTGTGTCCCAGGTAGACCCGGGTGAGCCTGTCGAGGTAGCTGTTGACTCGCGTCCTGCGTCTGGGGGTGCTGAGCCTGGGAGTGCTGCGTTTGAGGGTGCGGAGCCTGGGGGTGCTGAGCCTGGAGGTGCGGAGCCTGGGGGTGCTGAGCCTGGAGGTGCGGAGCCTGGAGGTACTGAGCCTGGAGGTGTGGAGACTGGGGGTGCTGAGCCTGGAGGTGCGGAGCCTGGAGGTGCGGAGCCTGGAGGTGCTGAGTCTGGACGTGCTGAGTCTGGGGGTGCTGAGTCTGGGGGTGCTGAGCCTGAGCGTGCTCCACCTGGAGGAGCCCCCTCCTCCCAGCAGCTGCAGGAGAGGTACCTCGAGTACTGCCGCCTCCGGAGAGGTGCTTCTGGAGCTCGTCCCGGTACTTCCCCTCCTACCCAGGAGCTCCCCCCCATTCAGGTGATCCGCGAGTGGTACACGCGGCGCTGCAGTCTTCGTAGTGGTGCTCCTGGTACTGCGGACCCGAGCGGTGGTACTGTTGCTGGTGCTGAGGACCCGGACGCTGGAGCTGCTGCTGGTGCTGAGGACCCGGGGGCTGGAGCTGCTGCTGGTGCTGAGGACCCGGGCGTTGGAGCTGCTGCTGGTGCTGAGGACCCGACCGGTGGCGCTGCTGCTGGTGCTGAGGACCTGACCAGTGGCCCTGCTGCTGGTGCTGAGGACCCGGGCGTTGGAGCTGCTGCTGGTGCTGAGGACCCGACCGGTGGTGCTGCTGCTGGTGCTGAGGACCTGACCAGTGGCCCTGCTGCTGGTGCTGAGGACCCGGGCGTTGGAGCTGCTGCTGGTGCTGAGGACCCGACCGGTGGTGCTGCTGCTGGTGCTGAGGACTCGGGCGTTGGAGCTTCTGCTGGTGCTGAGGACTCGGGCGTTGCGGCTGCCACTGGTGTCCCTGCTGCTTCTGGAGACACTGCGCGGCCGCGACCGTACTTCGTACCGCTCCTTCAGCAGGTTCTTGGTCAGGCTCCTCCTCCTTGTCCTCCTCCCTCCGTCGAGTGTCCTCTGCCTGTCCAGCAGCAGTCACAGTTACCGCCTGTCTCGCCTCTCCCTGCTCCCTCCCCTTACGCTGGTCCCACAGGAGGTCTTACAGAGCGTCGTGAGCCTGAGTCTCGTCCTGCGTCGCCTGTTCGTACTGCTCGCACTGGTCGTCGTGTCCCACGTGAGCGTCCTCCTCCTGTCCCTGGCACTCACTACATGACTCTGCGTCCCTCCACTGCTCCGCAGCGTGTCCCGCTGCCGTCTCCTCCTGCGTCCTCTCTTCCTACTCTTCCTGACCCGGAGTCTGACTCCCGTCGTGCTGCCAGTCCCACTGTTACGCGTCTCCTCGCTACAGTTGTCACTGACCCGACCTTTGAGTCCTCTGCTGCGTCTGCCCTGGTCGCTGAGTTGGTTGACTTTGCTGCTGCCTGTCGCCTAGACTACGCTGCCAGCCTTGTCGCTAGGTCTGAGTCTGCGTCTGCCTGTCCTCCGTCCGTCGGGGGTGAGTGTGCCCTCGGCACGGACGTCCTTGAGGACAGACAGGAGGAGTTCCACTGCCTTGCTGCTGCTTTGCCCCGTCTCGTGTCCTTGCTAGTTGCCCCTGAGGGAGACCCGGATGCACCAGACATCCCGACCCCACGCTCTTACGCTGAGGCGATGGCGGGTCCCTACTCCTCTCAGTGGCAGACAGCCATGGACGCAGAGATGGCCTCCTGGAAGTCCACAGGCACCTACGTAGACGAGGTTCCCCCTCCTGGGGCGAACATCGTCAGTGGCATGTGGATTTTCAGGGTGAAGCGGCCTCCGGGTTCTCCACCTGTCTTCAAGGCGCGCTACGTGGCTCGAGGCTTCAGTCAGCGAGAGGGAGTAGACTTCTTTCAGACCTTCTCCCCCACCCCGAAGATGACTACTCTTCGGGTGCTGCTGCACATAGCCGCTCACCGCGACTACGAGCTTCACTCTCTTGACTTCAGCACTGCTTTCTTGCAGGGCAGCCTGCACGAGGAGATCTGGCTGCGCCGCCCCCCTGGCTTCACTGGGTCATTTCCTCCTGGCACCCAGTGGAGGCTTCAGCGGCCGGTCTACGGTCTCCGCCAGGCGCCACGTGAGTGGCACGACACACTGAGGACGACACTTGCGGCTCTTGGGTTCGCTCCCTCTACTGCTGACCCGTCGCTGTTTCTACGCACCGACACCTCGCTGCCGCCGTTCTACATCCTCGTGTACGTCGACGACTTGGTCTTTGCCACTGCTGACACCGCGGCACTCGCTCACGTGAAGTCGGAGCTGCAGAGGAGACACACGTGCACAGACCTGGGTGAGCTGACGAGCTATCTTGGCTTGCGGATCACCCGGGACAGAGCACGGCGCACCATCACCCTGACTCAGTCACACATGGTGCAGCAGGTTCTCTAGCGCTTCCGCTTCACGTACTCCTCGCCTCAGTCCACTCCTCTGCCTACCGGTCACTCGCTCTCAGCTCTGCCTTCGGATGAGTCCGTAGAGCCGAGTGGCCCGTATCCAGAGCTTGTGGGCTGCCTCATGTACCTGATGACCTGCACTCGACCTGACCTTGCATACCCTCTTAGCATCCTAGCACGCTATGTCGCTCCTGGCCGTCACCGGAAGGAGCACATGGATGCTGCTAAGAGGGTGTTGCGCTACTTGTGCAGTACGTCGGGCATGGGGCTTGTGCTTGGAGGGCGAGACCGGGTTGTTCTCACAGGGCACTCAGACGCTTCTTGGGCAGACGACCAGGCTACTCAGCGGTCGTCCCAGGGTTACACCTTCAGCCTTGGCTCTGGCTCAGTTTCTTGGCGTTCTACTCGCTCTTCTTCTGTTCTCAGCTCCAGTTGTGAGGCTGAGATCTACGCCACAGCCATGGCTGCTCAGGAACTACGCTGGCTGACCTACCTGCTGACCGACCTCGGAGAGCGGCCTCGTTCTCCTCCAGTGCTGTACGTCGACAACAAGGCTGCCATTGCCTTGTGTGAGGAGCACAGACTGGAGCACAGAACGAAGCACATCGCTCTGCGGTACTTCCTTGCTCGAGAGCTGCAGCAGCGTGGTCAGCTTTGTCTGCGTTACGTGGCCACGGAGGCCAACACTGCTGATGTGTTCACCAAGGCGCTGTACCTACTGGGCCTCACTTGCTTACCTCTTGACCTTGCTTGTACTGTGATCACTATATATATATGCCTACTTGTTTACTTTTGCTAGGTTGTGATCACTGTATCTCTTGCTTTGTTATAAACCTGCATGTGAACTGGTCTTGAGACCACTTGCTTGTGCTCGGAATTTGTGTGGAATCCTTGAGATCCACCCTGAGCTTGCTTTACTTTGCTTTGACTGGTCTTGTGACCCTGTGGTTGTCTCCCACTGCGCCTATGGGGGTGTGTCAAACATTGCATGTTTATATTGTCTAGGCTGTAGTGGGTTACACCTTAGGGGGTACACAAAGTTAGGGTTTACTACTTGTACCAAACTCTGTTCTAGTTCATTCATTCCTGCTCAGTTATTTCTGACACTTGTCCGTGGCTATCATTCCCAATTTGAATCGTATCAAAAGGTGGAGTAAATCTCGAGTTATGCTTTTCGGCGCACTAGGGGGTATGCTGCCATAGAAAACTTAACTCAATCACAAATTGTTCTCACAAGTTCACAAGTTACACACAAGAGAGTTAGAGTAGGACTAAACCAGGTGGGAGGGAAGAGGAGTCCCCAACCAAAGGAAACCCCATGCCACACAATTCCCCTCTCCATAGGCAACCCCACTTTCACATTTGTCACTTTCCCAACTCATGCCATCCACCTCAACCCACTTGGCCACACTTGCCAACCTGGTTTGGCTTCTCCCAACCACATGGCAGCATCTACAGTAATGGGTTCGAATTTTCCAACCCCCAAAAGTCTATACCCCTTATGGAGTCAAACCCCACAACTTCCCATAGTCGCCGCAACCAAAGTACAGAAAGCATACGAACTCCAATGTTCGTAACTTTCTTGATATTGCTCCGATCGCGACGATTCTTGGTTCGTCGGAAAGCTCTTGAGCAGAGGAGTCACTTCAGATATCTGCTCAAGCCAAATAACATAAACACACACTCAAGAAATCCAAACCACACAAAACACAAATTCTTGCATGCGTTGACACCACGCATGCAATGCACGAACATATGATGGGAGGCAGACAGACGTGAATGCGAATGATAGCATCACACAACACATATGATGGGAGGCAGACAGACGTGAATGCATATGATTGCATCACACAACAGAATGCAGAGGGGGGGCGGCAAAGGACCTGATCACTCCTTCTACGCTTGTCAAGCCCTAAACAAGTGGTTTCTCGGTACAAGTAGACTGAATCCGAGTCCAATGATCATCATACCATCGGATACGGATGGGAACTTGCGGTGGCGCTGCACGTGGGGCACTTCGTTGGGTTGGACGGCACTCGCCACGTTTTCTGCTGTGACGACGCCGCCTGTCACCGCCGCACTCGTTGCTTGTAGGGGCAGGTTAAGTCGAGTGAGGAGAGGGGTAGAAAAAATTCATAAGCAAAGGAGGCCTGGGGAGAGTGCGATGAGGATGAGTGGGCAGACAGAGGAGAGTGTGTGGCGGATAGGGGATTGGCAGAGGATTAAGGAGATTGAGGGGAGCTGTGAGATGGTATTAATGGTGCATTCGATGCAAGGAGTCAGAGGGAAGCAACTAAATGCGCAAGCGCCGGAGGCTGCAAATGTGGAAAGATTACGAGTGAACGCGTTGATCGACGTGTGTTGTAAGGGATCGTGTGGGCTGCAGTGGAGGCGAAAGTGAGCGGAGCGTAGTAATGCAACACGAGTGCACAAGCGAGTCACGATGGCACGATAGTAATATGGTACCTTGGGTGAAAGAGAGCGCCAGGACCGCAACGAAGAAGGGCGCGGGGCTGACGGAGAGGATGGCGCGAGCCATGGCGTTGTAGTCTATGGTCTAGCTGAGAGAGATTGAGAAGTGAGCGTTAAAATAGGATGTGAGGCTGATGGTTAGCGCATGTTTAGCAGTGGGATTCATAGACAGATTGAGATGTGCTGAAGGTTCAGCAGCATGGGCAAGAGGGACGAGTGCGGAGAGGGTATCCGCCGAATGGGACTCTGGGCTGGGCTTCTGAAGAATGCGAATTATGCAATTTCGATGATAATTCAAGGGCAATAATGCGATTCACGATCTGCCCAGTCTGTAAAGAAAAAAATTGTGACAAGTAGAACATCTGATGGATCGAGGGCCCAGAATCAATCCGCGATGCAAAATGGAAAATCTTCCTGCTTTTCAGTGATAATGCAAGGGCAATAATTCAGCATGCTAGCTGCCCAGGGTAAACCTGCGACCAACTCGCCACCACATTCGAAATTGGACGCGTCCCCTTGGCAGCATCGATGAGAGGGGAGAGCTACTGGATGGATGCCGCAAACGGCGGTGGAAAACACAAAATTTTGAATGCAGTAAACGAATATTCGTTACAAGAATGAATGGCAGTGCAAATCGCACCCTGTTCTGCTTTTTATTTAACAGACAAAGGCACTTATGGTTGACCTTGTCTATAATTGTAATGCTCACTTCACAAAGTATGTAAAGCAATAAATTGCATGTAGTACTTGAGGCCAAAGATGAACCACCAAACAGGCTTGGCCTGCTATGATCAGTAATTGATCGACCCTAGGATCACCTCAGGAAGGTTCGCACACGTCTGAGTAGTGGTGGTGGGCCCTTTGACCTCAATAGCAGATACACGCTTATAAATAGTAGTACAAGGGGAATACGAAACGACCTAGCTAGCCATGTACTCTAAGGGGTACATTCCTTTATTCAAACTCAAACTCAACCGTGCGACTCGAACAGCTACGAAACTGTTCCCGCTAATTCCCTCGCTCCTGCAGCTGCCTGATGTCATCTGCTCTGATGGTTCGGATTCTTTCAAACCGTCTCCGTCGCTTCAAGTCAACTCTGACTCTTCGCATTCATTCTCAATACTACGTGCTTCACTTAGCTACGGTTAGGAGTGAACTTATAGTATTTCACTATTCGTAACACCCCCCTTCACTCCTGGCCGTAGCTCGACTTGACCTGCTTGACCACTCCGCTGAGTTCGGAGCAGTGCTGGTACTGCTGGCGTGGCTTCTGCAGTACGTCAGGTTCACCTTCCCCTTGTCCACTTCGTCCTTGACGAAGAAATACCGCAGCGCAATCTGTTTGGTGTGGTTGACGAATCCGGGCTTGTTCGCGATGCGGATCGCGCTCTGGTTGTTGCAGTGCAGGCGAAAGGTGGGCAAAACTGGGATTTTCGCCTCCAATAGGAGTTCCTGCAAGTTTCATGAGAACTGCTGCTGTTGCGGCGATGAATTCGGCTTCGGCCGATGATAGGGCAACCGGCTCCTGTTTCTGCGAGTTCCAGGAGATTGGTCCCGTTGGCTCGAGTCGGAACAGGAAGCCAGTCCTGGACCGTCGATTATCGGGATCTTCCTTAAGGGCCTTGATTTCTGCATCCATTTCTTCGCGCCACTCCTTACTGTGTGGTCCCGAAAGGGCTTGGCACGGATTCTTCGGCTCGATGACACGTGGCGCCGTTGAGGTGGCGGTGTGGAGCTCGAGAAGCTGTAGTCCACAGCTGTAGCTGTGCACACGGTGTTGTCGTGGCAGTGCTGTGGGATAACTTCCTGCACATTGTCGTCGTCGCTTTCTGGTTCAGGTGGTGCTGGTGGTGCTGCGCCTCTGCCGCTTCCGCTTCCACCTGCTGCGCCTGCTTCTCCACTGGGTAAATCATCGTCGTCATCGTCACTGCTGCACCGATAGCCCCTTGTGAATTTTCCCTGGTGTCTTGCTCCGGGATTGCTGCGGCGGCTTCGTCCTCAGGTGTTGCGTAGCTGTGCCCGTCGTTTGCGTAAGCGCGGTTCGCCTTCGTCTGCTCGTCACGGCGGAATTGCTCCCGGAAGAGCCGCTCGTAGAAGATGACATCGCGCGCGTTCGTTACCTTCTGGCTCATAAGGTCCAGGATGAGCCATGCCTTGTGCTCATGGCTGATGCAGAGGTGAATGGCCCAACGCGCGTGGCTTGCGAACTTCCCGATAGTGGATGTTGGCGGGCGATACTGCACCATGCACCCCCACACGCGGAGCATGGATGTGTCCCCCTTGGTCCCGGTCCACTTCATATGCGGCGACGAGTTGCTGGTGATGGCCATGGTTGACAGCAAGTTGTGCACCCGCACGGCGCGGTGCATTGCGTAGGTCCTGTAGATTGGCGGAAGCTTCGATTGCTTCATCAGCGCCCGCACCTTCGTCATCAGCGTGCGATTTGTGTGCTCGGCTACGCCCTGCTGCTGGTGCGCGTAGGGGAGAGAGATGTGATGCTCGATCCCCTTCTGCGCTAGGTAG